TGAATAGGGTTTTGAATGTGCAAATGTCCCAGTTAATTAAATACCTAATGAATTGGAATGTAAACAGGTTTTTTTTCACACATATACTGTGTACATTTATAATGTGACATTTCTTCTTGTTCTCTGATTTTAGTGAGTGTCAATTTAATTGGATGTTCTCGTGATTTTGACCAGTAACATTGCTGGCACCCTTGAAGGACTCCCCACAAAATAGGAAGACAAAAATTCTACGTGAAAATACCAGAGAAAATGTGGAAAATACCGTGATGGTGTCGTTTCCATTCCTGCCCATGACATTTCCTCAATAACTTGGCGCTGGTGAAGATGATGAACTTGGTTACAATGACGATTAAATGCCCCTCGGAACCACAATCCTGGTACCATCACCTAATCCCTATACAGTACAAGAATTATGCCCTGAGTGACAATATGAGACATTGGCTGAAATGGAGTGTGGAATGAAAAAAGAAGAAGAGCAGTAAGTTCCGTTTATGAAATTTTCAATTGCAGTAAAATGTTTTTTTTTTACTATCTTTACACATTTTCGTTTAAAGCATGTCTATTGTCATTGATTTTGTGGTCTTTGACTTAATTGTCTCATAGAAACTTTATAATAAGTACTCGCTGTACTAATTATAAATTTTCGTTATAAGTACTAAAAGTACACTATTTTAAGCTTTCACTTTCACTACGTTTAAGTCATACGTTTCATTCAATCTCGTATAGTCAGTGCTGATGGCGGTTCATTTGCAGAATTACAAAAATTATGGGGCTTTAGTGATATCTCACAATTGAAATAAAAATGCAAAAATCAAAGGAAAAAATCTGAAATATTATATTGATTTATTTGCAGCATTTCGCAGTGAGGACTTAAGCTGTTGGTTGTGATTGGCATGCGGTCAACTAAAGTTTTCAATTACTTTTGGGTTTGCTTTGAATTTCTAAATCATTTTGACGTCAATGTTGTGAATCACGTTTGTTGTTCTGGACAAGTCATCGGTGGAAGATCCAAAAAGTGAGTTTCCAAAGTAACTTGCACTAATTTCAGACTGATACATAATATTGGTAAAATCAGATTTGAAATAAAATAGCAACACTAAACACAACTTTGGAAATTTTTCTGAATTTAAACATGCCCATGAAGACAGTGCAGAAGAGTAAACTTGATTGTTCCAGGGCAACTTCATTTTTACTGGTTAACCTTTTTCAATGTCTGCTGGTTGGTCCAATGATTATGCTCCATTTTGAATTGTCATTTGAATAAATCAAGTAGAAGTTAGACCAGAATATTTTTCACTTGTGCGCAGTGTCCATGCACGCAGTTTATATTTATTTATTACGTTCTCTTTACCGTCAAAAGTCACGTAGAAAGGATATTTCGTGTTCATTCCAAGGTCAAAAAGAAAAGTTCATTCTTTTCACACTATTAGACTCTATCAACTTTCGAGATAATAATTATTGTCAGGATCAGCACACAAGTGATGTGTAAATCAATTCAAAATCAGCTGCATTGCTCAATTACTTACAGACCTTTTTACAGTCCATGTATGATGCTATTTATTAATTGTATGAAAAGGTATAAACTGTTTTCCATTGAAAATCAGATTGAATCATGCTTTCTTTTACAATGTTTTTGCAGGACAAAATTCTTCCTGAATTTTACTGAGCACCTTATTTTGCTGGCATCCATGTATGTGATATTGCACTCACAACCAGGAGATGCAGTGAGTACTTGATATACTGAGGTACTCACTGCCCTTTTTGGACATGAGTGATCCTCCAGCAGAGGATCCTTGGTCACTGCACAGGAAGGGAATTCAAGGTGCCAGTTTCCTGTCAAGCACCTGGTGGATGTTAGGGTTTGCCCTTCTCATCTTGTTTTTGTCTTTATTTTTCTGTTCCTCCATGTATAAAACATTTTGTGCTGGTTCAATAAGGAATTTAAAAAGCAACAAGTTGAAAAATGTTTTTACATCAGTCTATTTTGTATACTACTGTATACCTAGCAAGTAAAAGTGGTGCCCTGAAAATTTGACCCTAATCTTTATGCAGAGATGACAGCAGAAAAAGTAGGACATAACTATACATCTGTGTGCAGCAAATGCATACTGCTATGCTTAGCTGTTATGTCCAGCTCTGGACATGGCAACTCAGAAAAGCAGAAGTTCCCACTTGTCTGTGAAAAAGTAACAACAAGTGGTGGCAAAAGAGCCCCTTTCTTGACTTTGCTGTGTATAATTTCAAGTCATTATGCATTTCTTTTTAGAATTTTAATCCTTATACATGTATTTCCACCTCTTCTATGACACAGTGTATATACAGAGAAGAATTTTGTAAAAAATATTTTGGAAACTTGTCTTTGGACCTTCCATGGTTGCCATGTCCAGAGTAGCAAACGTGATACAAAAGATTGAAGTCAAAATGGATGAGAAATTTAAACCACCCCCAGAAATGATTGCATGCGTTGGTTGATCTCATGTTTGTCACATCCAACAGCAAGTCTTTGCTGCAAACTGTTAATGATTCAACGCTTCAGATTTTATCGTCTTATTTTGGTGTCTTTAGGGAAATTTGGAGAGGCAGTCACAAAAGAAGTCTAAGATTGTGCTGGGTCTGAACAAAACTTGAGTTTTTNCCTAACCTAACATTGCTGAAATTTTGAAAAAAAAAATCTGTGGTAGGATACCATTCTGCTCACTGAATTCTGAAAAAAAATCAGCATCATTCTTGTCACCCAATTGTTTGGGTGCCCCAACAATCAGGTGACTAAACCAAAGTTTGGTGGGCTGGGGATTGGCAAGGCCAAGAAATGCCCTGGCTGACAGTTGGACCAACCAGCGCTTGACGACCGGCGGGTGTGCGACCGTGAATTGACCAACAAGCGGCTGACAGGACACAGAAATAAGGGGTAAATGGTCACTGCAACTTCCATCACCATTTTAATGAGTGCCAAGTCATTCAGAAAATGCCAAGGGCAGTAATGAAGATGACACTCAATGTTATTTTTTATGTCCTCTATATAGTAACTTGAGGAATTCTCTAGTTGCATATTTGTCACCTCATTATTGCTTTGTTGTAAGTCCTACAATAAAAGTGTGTAAGCAATTTAACTACTTTTCACAAATAAGCTTTAATTAAGTAAGAAAAATCTACCTTATATACTTGCAGGAGGATTTAGATTCCATGCAAATTTATACAGTATTTAAACTCTACATTCTATTATTGTGGAATGCACAGTTTTTCAAAGTCCTGCCACTTGCATTTGATGATTGCCTGGGGTAGAATATAAAGACATTGTGTTTAAAATAGAATGTAAATCATGCCCTTTCATGACAAAGGTCTTGTAAAACAAATTAAACTTTGAATGGATTAAATTCCTAATTTGGGGTATCATACTGTATCTCACTCACAAGCAGGAGACACAGTGAGCAGCTGTAACTGTATATGACCCTGTTTGATATTAAAGACCCACCACAGGATCTTTCATCACTTCACAGAAAAACTAAGCATTGAGCTAGTTTTGTGTGAGGCAACTTATTCTTGAGGCCATTTACATGATTCTTGGATATTTGTCATCATTTTCATATCATTTCACTGCTGGTGTGTGTGTGTTCTTCTACTGTCAATCATCACAAACTGTGGTTGAAAAGGAACCAAGAAGCCCACAGAAATAATAAGAAAGCAAATGATTTTTTCTGGTTGACTTGTGTCAACCATGTGTGTTATGTCTTATTTTTCTTTATGTGAAAAAATTGTGAAATCAATACATGAGAATGAAATAAATACATTTGCTTTTGAGCTTGAGCATCATGAGTTCTTTTCTGGATTATTCTCTCAAATCCTCTTTGAATTGTCTAGTGCACAAATCTCTGAAATCTTGAGGCTTTCATTGCGTTTGTGTACTTTTGGAGATGGCAGAACATTTCTGGAACATCAACCTACAGTTTGACCTTTGCCCTGCAATTTGATGTGCAGAAAGACACAAAACATCAAATCCAGTGTATAAAATATAAACCATGACATTAATTGTCTTGAAATTCAAATGCTTGAAAATGCAATCCTATACTCAGGCAATGAATTAGGTTCAAATTGCAGGTACCAGCACCTGCCAAACACTGTGTGTATCTCAAGAAGTTCTCAGTTCAAAAAAATTTCTTAAAATTGAGGTTAATTTTCTGTTCAGACAATATAGGTTTAATGCTATAATAGGTAAGCTTAAAAAATAATTATACAGTGAATTTCAAGGTATTTGTCAAATTATACGGTATGTGAAAGAAACAAATTTTGTATGACGACTCACTGCGTTTTCTTCGTATTCTTCTCTGCATTTTTAATGATTTTTTTAATGATGCTTTTTTAATTTTTTTTATGTACAGTATATTAATGCTTTATTTTCGAAATATTGCTGGACGAGGAAAACAGCTTCAATTGCTCGATGTTACTGATGAAACTCACACACGTGAAAAGGATACATAATCGGAAAAATTAATTATGCATTCCATCGTGGATCCGAAGTTTTTTGAAAACAATCATCCAAATCTATTGAAAAAATTGGCATGCAAATCAACGCTGATCAACACAAAATGCTCACGTTAAACGAGGAATTATTTTTAAATAACGGCCATTTGTTACAGACGCTCGAAAATACGTACGATATGCGCAGTGTTTGTTTTTTTGTTTTCAAACCAAAAAATCACCAGCTAAGGAAACTTTTTTTTCGAGAATTTGAAAAAGAAAAAAAAAAAACGCTGAGACACGCACAATCAGAAAGTTCATCAACCTTTCATATTCCTTTTCTTATATTACGTCGTTGCTGCCTTGGTTGAAGAAAAATCTCCCCTCACTTTGTAAACCTTGAAACTTTTCGTTTTTTTTTGTCATTTTATTCCACCTCAAGAGAAATGCCTTCAAGCCTGAGCGAAAGCACACGAAATACTATAAGAAAAAACAATCCGCGCTTTTATTCGATCGCAGTCCCACGTAACAACTGCAGCAGTTGAGTCTCGGCTGCGATAAAGCGAGCAGCAGAGACATTCTTTCTTTCTTTTTCTTTTTCAAAAATTTTGAAATTGCAGTTCAGTATACATACAGACGATCATGTTGCGGACTTTTTCGTACGTGGTGTGGGTTTACGGGCTGCTGGTGCATTCGGTGCTGCCTTCGACAAGTACGAGGGTTGCCAGAGTTGGAGTCGACAGCAGGAACGACGACGACGATGCCTCACCCGTCATCATCTACGGCGGACTGGTGAGTGACAGGACCACGGTGCCATGGATGGCGTACTTGACCACTCCGGAGGACAACGCCAAGTGCGGAGGGTCACTCATATCGGCCAGGGTCATACTCACGGCTGCGCAGTGCGTCACCTATGAGTGAGTACCGAAGCGAGCGTTTGGAGGTGTTTCAGCGACGCGCAACTAGGTGTCGCTTCAATTCGAGACCATTACTGTATTTTACAATAAGAAACTGTTGCTATACTACACTGGACTATGGGGTTAAATTGCAGGGCAGAGGTCAAATTGCTTGTTGACCTTGCAGGAAATTTGACTTGTCAAATTGCTGGATGGACAAAAATGTGCAATATGTAACTTCTTATTCCATAACTCGTCTATTATTGTTTGTATATAGTTCTGGAGGATCGCCAGTGAAAAGCAGCGCTGTCACGTATCAACTGGGTGGAATCACAACTTCATCCTTGGACGAAATAGACAATGGTGAATTCAGTGCAACGCAGATGGACCCGAATGCAATCGTGGTGCATGAGGGCTACACGGGCACCACTCGGTTTGTGCATGACGTGGCCCTGGTCAAGATGTTGACACCTGTGGCAGTTTTCACAAATTCCATACGCCCTGTTGTTTTGGCTGCCCAGGACTCCAGCCCTGAGGGACTGCCTGTCACTATCCTGGGCTGGGGATTCACTGAGTCAGGAAGTAAGTTTTTTTTTGTGTGTTTTAATTACAGCTTATTTTTTTAAAGAATTAAAATGCCTTTTTATTCTATGTTTTTCGTTGCCAAGTTTTTTTTTTTTTTGTTTGCCAGAATAAGACAGCAGGCAAGATATGCTTACTTTTTAGACTATTTGCTATGGCAGCAGTCTGCTACAATTTTTGTTTTTACCCACAGACCAGCAAATTTCCATAAAATTGAAACAGACTGGTATTTTTCTAAGGGTTAAAACGCAACTTGTTTAATAATTGTCATGCAATTTATTTCTATTATCAAGGTTACAGCGTTAACCTCTTGTCTGCTGGGACTGACATTCGCACCAACGACGTGTGCCAATCCTACTGGAATTGCCCTTTGCAACCCACATTTTTTGACCCAGCTTTGCAAACGTGTTTTGGAGGACGTGGCTCCAACGGCATCTGCACTGTGAGTCCAGATTAAATTTTATTTTTCCCAATTCCTCTCTTTGAAAAAATCAATAGAATCAAGTACTGCACTCATCACAGCAATGGCAACATTTAATTTATAGAAGATGAAACAACTGACAAACTGCAGCATCTCAAAGTTATTTTGTGTATACTTTCAAGTAAAAGTTGAACCTGCTTTTGCTTATAGACAGTTGAACCTCAATGAATCAATGATCCATTGAATTTTTTCCAAGTCCCTGGCCAAATTCTGAAAATGATGGATAAAAACCATTCATAACTGATAATTTCTGGAATTATTTTTTGACACAAGTAAGAAAAAATTAATCAAAATTTAAAAGATGAATCATTTGGGCAAATGAGCCCTTGCCTTCAGTTTCAACATCATATAGCTGTCAACTCACTTAAAAAGTAATTTAAGGCCAAGAATTTCAGTGTTACAATTTTCTGTAATTCTCATTTCTTTCCCCAACACAAATATTTATTTTCCCTGATAACACAAAACCTCCCAAATTTGAGTTGTTTTTTGCTTTTCCCTTGCTGACATTTGACTTTAGGAGATTTGACAGTAGGATTAATACCTTTGCTCAGTGTCCTGTATTTTTTATTTTTTTTTAATCTGCTTGAACATAAATATAATGGTTTAACCCTCAGACAACAGCAGCCTTTTTTGCCATCCAAGGGCAAACTTGGACTTTTTTTTTTGCTGGGCCTAAGTTTCATTTTTACCCAAGGTTATGCAACCCCTATCAGGTGGGAAAGGGCTAAGTTGGCTTTTAACTGAGGATTAAGGAATGCTGAGGAAGTCCTAAGTTGGACTTTTTCCATAGTGACCTCTATAACCTGGGCTCTGCTGGCTTTCAAGTTCAAATTTAATCTTTGAATGGAGGAACAACCCAAGACTAGGGGAGAAAAAGTGAGATTTGAAGATTTAATTTTTTTCATGTCAGAGTAAAATTTTTGTGCAGAAATTTAAAAAAAAGCAGGAATTTTCCCAGCTTTGCCCTGTGCACACCGTCATGGTTTTCTAAAATACCATTCTTGAGTGTACTCAAAATCTGCAACAAAAAAGTCAGACTTTGCCACAGAAGGGTTGGATGCAGAAACAAATGTTGGCATTTCAATATATGCTGATGCTGCTTACATTTCTTGACTTATTACTCATCTGTATACTTTTGGAATTTACTCAACTTTCAATTTATTCTTGTTTCATTTTTTAAATGTGTAACCAATAAAATACAGGCGGTATACTACCTTGCAATTTGACCCTATATCAGTTGCAAAAATAGGGTCAAATTGCAAGACACTTCATCAGATGAAAATAATTATAGTAGATTAAAAAATTAATCTAGAAAACCACGTTTTCAAAAAGCAAGAAATAACCTTAAACCTCGTGCGCATCTATTTCATTTGTATTAAAGAAAGTGAGTTCATAAAAACGTGGTAAAATACAGTACACTAAAAGTGAGCAAAGAAAAATTGGCCAAAGCAGTTTCAATTGCAAGTCAACCTCCCTGAAAATGCGACCATCGAATTGCGGGTGGTCGAATTTCGAGATACGACCACCTGTATTGCTCAATTTCAAAAAAAAAAAAAAAAAAAAAACGTTAAAAATCTGCGTAAATTTGGCAGGGTGATGGCGGTGGTCCCGTGATCCATGGCTGGGGCCCAGACGCCGTTCAAGTGGGCATCAATTCCTTCGTCCGACCTCCGTCTTCGTTCGCGGGTCCCTGCAATGTTGCCATCAGCAAATCCGGGTATTTCTCGCAATTTCTGCACGGCGTGTTGACAGGACTGCTGATGGGTTCCAACTCGGCGACCAGCAGCAGCAGCATGTCGCAACGACAGACCCGACTGGAATGCGGCATCAACACACCCGCTGTTGGCCCGAAAGTCGGTGCCTACAGGGCATGGATTGATTTCAATGCCGATGCACTGGCGACATCTGCCTGATTTTAGGCAGTGATTAAATTATTCGCTGATGCGCGACATAAGAGAGAGAGAGAAAACGAAGCAAAAACACAAGATGATGTTCTTGGAAAAGCTGCCAATAAGTTATTCATAACACACATTCCATTAATTGTTTTAGTGATTTTTGTCTGCCATATGAGTGTACAGTACTGTATATATATATACAGCAGGTGGTACCTTATTGCAATTTGACTATATCCCACCATTTGAAGGTTGAATTTGCTGGGATGAGGTTGACTCACAATTTGACCCCTGCTGCACAATTCAACCTGCTGTGGAGACTGCTGGAGAGACATTAAATGTCAAATCCCATGTATATAGAAAACATATACCATTATTTGACATGGTCTACCAATTCTAAGAAATTTCGCGACAGAAAGCGATGGCGCAGTTGCGTTTGTGGTGTTTATTTTTTTTAAAGGTGGGTGAATAAGTGTGGAAAAACATAGAAAACAGTTCGAAGTTCATCCAACTTCTACAATTTTTTTTTTATTCTCACTGCTGATGACGTCAAACTGTAGTTTTTCGTTTCTTAATTCTTCAAATTTTTCCTTCTTATTCTGAATTTATTTTTAAAGCCATGCAGCGCTCACCTCAAGGGAAAAAACAGATTATTTAGTTTTGCATCCATTGTGGGTATTTTTTTCTTATTTGAATTTAGAACAATATTGTGGTATCAAATAATCAGCATGTTAAATTTTATTATATTGCTGTACTTTTTCCCAAAAATAAACTGAGGCCATGTGATAAGAATCATCACTGAAGAAAAATTTAATAATTTTCATTGAATTTTGATCATGATTCAAATGAATTTTTTCAAAAGAGCTGTATTCATTTGGCACTGGTTGTGATTGTGATTACATCAGTGTTACTGTAATTTCAAGTACAATTGCAAGCATTCAAAAAATCAGTGCTCAATTAGAATCACTATTGCAATGCCTACAAAATTGCAGCATAGCCAAATCAAAATTGCAATGCTTGTGATTCCAATTGTGATTTGGCTAAGGTGTGGCTCAATTAACAACCCTGGTGATGACCACCAAATAAATGCACAGCATGGACTATACATATCACTCAAAAAACTGTCTATCTTCATTTCATTTTAAAGCAGTGCACAGTCACATTTCACTTATTGGTGCTTCACAATATAATGCTCCAAAAAATGGGAACAAAACATGTCTCAGATGTAGTCATGCAGTTGAGCCAGTAGGTCATCCAAAAAGGTCTCCACTGCCTCAGGACTGGGTCTGTTCCCTGGCTCCAACTGCCAACACTGCACCATAACTGCATATCTGCAAATAAAATGAATAAACAATCAATTGAAATTCCTGACACACAGCATATTTCTCATCTCTGTTGAAGAAATAGTTTTCTAATGTATTTTTTTTAATTTTATTGCACTCAAGACAACAGACAGCACAACAAACAACTTGACAATACAGGCAGTACTTCCCAATTTGACCCTAATCTATTACCAAACTATGGTTTAAATTGCACAGCAGTCAAATTGTGAGACACGTTGAGGAATTCAAAAATATCAGTACAAAAATGCAAAAAGTGACCAAAGCAGGTCAAATTGTGGGTTAGCGTCAAATTGCAAGTCAACCTCTCTACAAATTGGACCATCAAATTGCAGGATGGTTGCATTGCAGGAGGTCAAAGTGCCAGGGTACCACCTGTACTGTATACTGTACTTATATATATTCACAGTATCTATATAGAGACTCACAATTGATCAGGGCAATTGGGAGGCTGGGGAAGCTGGAGCCCAGCCAGAACTGCATCAGGCAGCGACACCTGTCCAGCACCACCAAAGGGCTCTCTGCCCAGCGTGCACAACTCCCAGAGAGTCACCCCCAACGCCCAGATGTCGCAGACGGGGCCCTGGTGCAGCAGCGCTTCCGGCGACATCCAGCGCACAGGCAACAAATCTCCTGCGATGCCATGAGGTTCGTAGTCCCCCGGGTAGAGGTCTCTGCTCAGACACGCGTCGCTCAATTGCAGCACGCAGCCGGCAGAGTCGACGAAGCAGTTCCTCGCAGCGACATCTGGATGGACGAGGGAACCACCAGCCGGTGAGTGGAGAAAGTGCAGCGCCTCTGCCAACTGGGCACCGAGTCGGACCACTGTGGTCATGCCCATCTTGGACATGTTGGCGTGGAGCCGGTGCAAATGGTGCTTGAGGTTCACGCCTGCGTAAGGGTACACCACGCAGGGCACGTGGTGCAAGATGGCGAGTGGCGCCAGCAAGTGGGCGTGGCGTTTGCCTCCTGGCACATCTGGTCTCAGCAGTAATGCAGCTTCTTGCAGTTGCTCTGGTGCTGAAATAATTTTCAAGAAATCGAATTAACAAGAGGAAACTTTTTTCTAAATTTTGAAATTTTCATCTCTTCTTTCATGTCTTGAAATCATTTCATAAAAATGGACTGTTTTTAGAACACTAATTTTTATTTTTACCAAATCCCCATTGCTAAATTTTATATTTGCTGTGGTGATTCAGTCTTCCAAAAAAGCATGTCAGGTCACACTGAATATGTTCTTCCAAGCCTTGACTGGATTTTACAGTGTGAAAACTTTTTTCTGGTCCTTTTTCATGTGCTCAGTGTTGTAGATGTCACTTCAAAAAAATGTGCTTGTATACAGCTTTCATTGAATGAAGTTTTTCATTTATGGTAGTTCTCAAATTTCCAGAAAATGTGTGTCACACAGCTTTGGTGTAAAATTGGGCATAATTACTTGCAGTCAGTTGAAAGAAAATGCATTTAATACTGTAGAGCTGTATACACTTTCCACAGTGAGGCCTCCACATGTGGACACCTCAAAATGCAGACAATTTGACATGAGGACATTTATTTTCCAATAAAAAAATGCATGAAAAAGGTCTGACATGAGGACACAGACTCAACATGCAGACATTGCATGACAAAATTGCCAATAAGTTTTACGGCAAATAAATTGTATCAAGCTGAACTGCAAGAAACAGATATTTCCAACCCTAAGATATGTGCAAGAAATTTTTTTTGGTATTTCTCCTGTCATTTTCCCATCCATTTAGCCAATTAAAAAAATATCTTCAGCATAGAGGGACATCCTTCTCTCTTTGTGATTTGATTGTTATTTTTACAGATGCCAACATTTCAATGTACTCTACAGTACTTTACAGAGGTACATTATTCAATGCTCCAAATGTTCTTCTTGAGTTGAAAGATATTGACTGAATCAATTTCAATTGGCAGACAATATTTTCATGGAATTCTGATGAATATAACTTTTATAAAACACCAATTTGAAATCATATACTGTAAGTCTGTGGAAAAATTAGACTCAACTTATTAGGGACACATTCAATACACCACTTATGTCTGCATCTTGGGGTCTCACTGCTGTATAAAAAAAATAATGAACACTGACAATGAATTTTGAGCACAAATCATAATGCAATTTTCTACTTGTTTTTATTTTACAATGCATGAATGCCTCAGAGTGCGGTCCTTCTTGTTTTAGTCTTAAACATATCTCTCCAATGTTATACCAGAGAATATTTCTTCAAACTTCAAGAAAACCTCAACTCACAAGTAAGTTGCTTGACAGTGACATCTCTCGGGGGTCTTCTGACTTCCTCACTGAGCACCAGCAACAATCCAGACACTATTCTGCCAGTGCTGCATTCCTGTTCACAAACGCGGACTATCAAATGGAAGCCACAGGTGGCAGCTGGGTCCGTCTGAATCGTGTCACTCGTGGCATCTGATGGGGTCATGAGCAGATGTCGCTCTTCACTTCCAAGACTCGGCGAAACTGTTCTCTGCTCACTCATTGCCGCTGAAGTGTGGTACTTGACCCCAGTGGACGTGGTACTTGCTCCAACACTGGCAGATGACCTAGCCCTGAATGAAGAGAAGGGAAATCAAGTCTTATTATACACTTCTGATGAAATACTTTTCCCACAAAGTACAGTATTTTGAGATGAAATTGAATTATATTTTGAAGAATTTTTTAAAATATAATTTAAAAGGACATAACTTCTGTAAAATATGGAAATGAGATCTTACAATATTTTCATTTGATTATTTTTCAGTGTTGATCAATATGTACCAGCAAGGATTTGATCAGAAAGAGGGGTGTTCACAGTAGTTTCTGAAAAATTTGAGGAATTCTTGGATTACATTTTGAAATCTCAGCAGTATATATCTTCAGAACAGATGCCAGAAAATTATTGATAGAATTTCAAATTACAGGCAGTTTTGACAAGGAAAACTTGATACAGTATCAGTAATAAATACAGTACTTTCCATTTTCATTCCTAATTCCCAATGCATCATCCAGATGAAGGTTTGAAAAAAGTTTAACTTTCACAGCTGAGTTATTCTTGGAGAAAATCCCAAAAGCTTCAATAATTTGAGATTCAATTTAATGCCAATTCATCTAATTATGGATCAAAGACAGGAGGCATATAGTTTACTCACACTGTGCCATATTTGGTCCTGGTCCAGTAGACGGCCACACCAAGACACACAGCTGCAAACACAGCACCCACAGCACTGCCAGCCACAATGAAGAACATGTCACTGGGGGATGCCAACAGAGCAGGGTCCTCAACCTCTTCTGTCTCTGCTGCTGATGGTTTCTGATGCAGCTCTTGAGACACCAAAGAGGCCTGGGACTCAGTCTTCTTATTGTTTATCACCCTCAGCTCAGGATTCACTGCACAGGTTTTCTTTCTCTTCAAGGGCACCACCAGAACATCACTGGAAGGTGGTTTGCGTGGATTAGGGGTAGATGTCGCTGGTGTTGTGACAGCTGCCAAGAGTGCCCTTGCAGACACCTGAGTGGATGCCAGGACCATTATGGACACATCCACAGTTGCTGTCTCAAGTCCAGAGCATTCCAAGTTCACACTCCATTCAGACCTCCTGCAAAATGAAAGCAGAGACAAATATGGGGGAAGTGGTGAGTTGTGGTTTACATTATTTTAAAAATAAACATCATTGTATTGTAACTTAAAACAAATGAAGCAGATTAGCAGACTTATTCAGTCCATCAATGAGGCAGGTGCAGGTTGTACCTTGCAATTTGACCTCCCTCAATTCAACTGTAATTCAATTTGACGGTCAAATTTGCAGGGAGGTTGACTTGCAATTTGACCTCTGCCTTATTGGAATTCAACCTGCTTTTGCCAATTTTCTTTAGCACTTTAGCATAGTCCAGCAATGGATTAGGGTTGAATTGCAAGGTACCAAATGTATTAGACATTTTTTTCATCCAATGCAGTTTTAATACTGTACTTTGCAGCTTCAAATGATTTTATGCATTTATATTTTGGTAAGGGATTCAATTTCTTCAATAATTTACTTCTTTTTTTAAATGCTTCCACCATAAAACAAATTCACCAAATCAGCTGAACCCAACATACATCAGCGTATAATTGGACAAATTGGCCAAATTGTTCATTATTCTCAGGGAAATATTTTATTTGCTCACACAATGAAGGTGCATCTTTTCTTGGCGGGAGTCTACTATCAAATATAAATACAGTGGCCCCCCGCCTAACAGACCCCCCATGTAAGGGATTTTTGCCGAACAGACCAGCTCTGCAAGCAGTTTTTCCTCCCACCCATGAATTTGTGTAAAGCACTTTTCATCTAACAGACTCGTCCCTTGCACAAATCAAGTCCATTAGATGGGGGTTGACTGTACTGAATTTTTCTTTTTTATCAATCAGTGACTGGCAGCATAGTTCTAGCTTTTTTCACTGACTGAGATAAATTTTGATGTTACATCTTTTCAAAACTGGCAACATAAATTTGAGAAATAATGCATGTTGTTTTTTTTTACCTATGAAATTAAATATATAAATGGCAAGTCAATCTTCTTACCTGTGTGGTACCACACCAGAGTTTGGTATGCTCAGGCTAGGTGGCAGTAACACCCTGGTGCCAGCACTCAGTTGCTGGTGCTCAGGTGAAGTCACATTCACATAAATGGCGTAATTTACCTGCAGAAAAAAAACAAAATTAAATAAATACAGTACATACAAGATAAATCTTTAAAAAATTACACATGTGCTTCCAAATATTTCCCACTGGGATTTTCAGAGACGAAATTTTAAAATTCAAGCAAGCAGCATATACAGTATAAGCAAGAAAAATGGATAAAGTGAATCTTTTTTTTTGATAATTGAGCATTGCAAATATATTCACCTCCACACTGGCCCTGTTTTCCCATGAGAAATTCAGCACAGGAATCTCAGGAGGAACTGGCATCTCAAAAGACAGTGGATACGAATCCACTTTCCCATCTCTGACATACACAATCTCAGCTGCCAAACCTGGAAATATTTCAATAACATTTTTTTTTTCAAAAACAAAAATCGTCAAAAAAAATTCTATAAAATTTGCTTTTGACACTCACCCAGCAATTTGAAGGTCTCTTCTTGGTCAATAAACAGCGACAAGTGCCCAAATGCGCAGTCATATCTCAAATTGACAAACACCAAAAACAACAGCAACAACGTCGACCAGGTCCGCATCCTTTTCTTCCAGTATTTTGTTGTGAGGAAACAAGAAAACTCGACAGGAAGAAATCTGGAGAAAATAAAAATTCGGAAACAAAAAAAAAATTATGGATAAACCGGTATTTAATGTTGATCGAACGGCAAACAAGTCTTTCTTTTCTTCTTTCTTTTTTTTGCACCCGGGAAAACAAAGCCTATTGTTGATCCTCGAGCTCGATTTTATTTCCCCCTTCGAATGGGAAATGAAAAAAAAAATGAAAAGAAAATTCGCGTTTCTCAATCTACGCTTTTTTCATGGGTGGGGGCAGAATAGAGCAGGCGATTGAATCTTACACGGTTTCTGCACACACACAAAAAAACGGTAGTTTCGGGTGAGAACTTGTAAATTTTTTTTTGCGTTCCAGTAAAATTCACGTACAAAATGTTGAGCAAATTTCTCCTTGCAAACCAGAAATTAATTTTCCTTCACAGTCTTTAAGAAAAACCAATCCACGCAAAAAATAATAATTAGTCTCATTTATTCTACAGTATGCAGTTGTATTTCATTGAAAGATTTACTCAAAACTTGCATGAAAGAGTTTATGCAAAAATAAATAATAATTAATTTTGACCCTGTTTGGGAAAAATTTTATTACAAACATTTTCCATCATCCTAAGTTGAACAGGAGTTTGAAATCAATCTGAGTATTGTCATCAAAATCCTTTCATTCCTTCTCAATAGCAGACAATGCTTGAGAAGGTCATGTCATGTGTTTGCCAATTTCTGTCCTTATATTGATGACATGCCACACTAAGTCATGTGCTGTGCCAATAAGTTATGCAACCATTCTCAGAAGGAAAATTTCAGTCTGACTAATCTTGCCCAATTTTGAACTGCAAAGTCTATAAAGCAACCTGCCTTTCTTTGTATGCAGGCTCATTATTGCTTTCTAACTGTTTGTTGGAGGAGATACAGTTGAACCTCTCAAAGTCAAATTTCAAGGGACCAGCAAAAAATTTTGACTGAGGGAGGTTTTGACTTGGGGAGGTTTTGGATTAAAGAGGTTTGAGCTACAACACGTTGCTCTTTTGTTCTGGGGAACATAGAAAAATATCCCAAAAATTTTGAAAGAATAAATGAACAGAAAGATTTAGGTTTTTCAGCATTCACAAGGTTCAATCAACATTCCCACATCCAAACCCACTCCCCATCCAACCCAAATCCATTCAATCACTTCAGAATGGGAAACCGAGAAAAAGCGGTATACAGATATCAAAATAAAAGAAAATACATTTCCACAATGTACAACTGCACAACTGATGTGTATGTGTACACCCCTTTTGTTCCCTGACATTGAAAACAAAATATCAGTTACAAGAATTTCAGCATAAACCAAAATTATAGCAACCACCAAAACTTTAAATGATGGTATTCTGGGGCTTAAAATGCTTCTTAAATTATATGTGAGGATGCTGAACTTTTAGGCAATAGTTCATTTGCCCAATTAAGTATTTCACTTCCTTATTTCAGACACATCAATTTTCATCTGTACTGCATTTTTATTTTTTGTGTCAAGTAAATCATAGTCAACAGGCTGCAGGAAATTCAACCTGCAGAGGTTTGAGGGGAAAAGCGTTCAACTTATGGAGGTTTTTATTTATTCTTTCTAAGGGGATTCAGAGGGGGTCTGAAAAAATTCAACTTAGAGGGTTTTTCAACTTAGGGAGGCTCAAGTTATCAAGCTTCACCTGCACATGCCATTTGTTGACCTGCTGTAGAGAAAACAAAATATACACTTACCCTTTCCTATAAGAATATACTGCGGCCAGTTACTTATTGATAAAAACCTGGCAATAAGGATAAGAAATCTTCTCACTGAGTTTAAGTTTTCAAATCTAGATATAAAATACAAAACAATGGTATAGAGAATCAAAGTGTGTAAGGAATCAGGAGATGTCTTGAATGCTCATCAAAGTCTGATAACAGTAGAAAAAATTTAGTAGATTAAAAAATTAATCTAAAAAGCCACATTTTCAAAAAGCAAAAAATAACCTTAAACGTGTTGCGCATCTATTTCATTTGTATTTCACTTCTTCCCAACAATCTCCATGCACACCAAGTGAGCAAAATTTGAGTTGCAAAATGTGATCCGAACAAACAAATGGACAAGAAAGCAAGTTAATAAAAATGTGTTAAAAGACTAAACAATACATTTTTTTCTTTCTTTCAAGTGTTTTATTTATGTGAATAAGAATTTTTGAAATTGATCATAGACGTCTTTAATTTAAAGAGACCCTGTATATATGAATACATGGATTCAGTAGCAGGACGTTGAAAAAAGGCGGGGGAAGGAATCTGATTTATTTGCACTCTGATAACTTTTCCCTATAGTTGACGACGATTAGCAAACAGCAAATCCAATCCCTTTCCACTGCAAATATTCCCAAGCACGGGGGGAAAAGGCATTATTCGTTGATATTACAGACGAGATCGCTATTTTCCCTCGCATTTTCTCCTTTTTTTTCCTACAATGCCAAAATAAAGTCAGGTATAGATAGGCTTATATGAATGCCAACTACAAAAAAATGTTCCGGAAAACGAAACAACAATGCTTTTCCTCAAGAAATCCGACTGCATTCGTAAATATTTTTTGCATTATTCAACTTGTTGACATTCGACCCAAAGAAATGCTTCAGTGACTGACAACAAAGAAAATTGGAATTTTTTTTATATGTCTGCTGGTCTCATTATTCCCATCAAACAGTCATGAGGCCAAAGATCAACTTGACATTTTCCTTCTCCGCATTTTACAGATGGAATAAAATGCGTTTTCCGTTAGTTTTATGTACAGTTCACTGAACTCTTTCATGATTTCCAACAACAAACTTTGACAGAAAAGCTCAGGGGGAAATATGGAGTTTCCGGTGATTAAATCAGAAAATCAATTACTGTTACTCTCTCGAATCGGGATTTATTCTCACCTGCGGGCCGTGACAAATCAGAAAGTTCTTTCAAAAATGTTTCACATTACGAAACTATATTTTCCATATTACAAGCAAAACAACAGGCTTGTTTTCAGTGATTTTCTCCAATTTTAAATGGATCTTTGAACCGATAGGAATTTTCAGAGAATAACAAAAAAGTTCAGGATCTTTTTTTTCATTACTAAATTGCATGCAATTAAATTTATGCGACACCTGCAATAAGTGCTGACACATCATTTCTGAGAAAATGTATCTGAAAAATGAGCCTTACAGTAGAACTTCATTTAAACTGCAATAAAGTATGTATACCTTATCCTGTATTATGCAATTCAATGAGCAAAATTTGGACTGAAGAAAATATGAACTCTCTATTCAAATAAAATTCATAAATTTTAGATGCTTCAACTTTCTGGCGTTTTCTTTTTCAGAAATTAAAAAAAAGGTAAAATAATTTTTATGTGCAAGTAATGAGTCAATTTTCTACCTTCTTTTACTCATTTTTCTTCCTATAGAACCAATCAGACAATTGTTTTACACTCAGGAATTGAGTTGTTTTCTTCCATGCTCAGCTTGAAAATCAAATATTTAATTGCTGTCATTATTTTGCTCATTCTTATTAGAAATTGACCCAAAATGTTGGTGATGGAAAATGACATCATGGACAAAAATGCTTGAAATTTGCAAAAATGATCTCAGATAGCAGCATTTGTCAGTCTTTCATTCCACAAATCAGGATATTTTGGAGAAGGCCTTTGCTTGCAACAATACTCAAGAATTGTGCTTTGCCCTTGAGAAATGGAAGCATCATCAAGCGGAAATTGACCCCATCAAACACCCCACAACAGGAAGACATCAGTGATGGTAAAAATGACACATGTCTCCCAAGCATGAATCCACTGATGATTAACACACCAAAAGCTGTGCCTGTGGTCTTGGTGAACAGAGTGATTTTAAAATATAAACAAAGCAGCAGCAGCAGCAGAGCATATGAGTTGATCTACCTGAATGCATCAGCACACCCAGGAAAAAAAAAAAAGTCAGGTAAAAATATCCACCACCTGTTTCTGAGACTGTCAAGGCCTGGCTGCACACACAAGACTCATCAACAAAACCACAAACTCGGCAGGAAACCGTTTGCCTGGAACCACAAAAAAAATAATGTGAAAAAAATAAAAATAAATAAATAAAATCGCCTTCAGCAAATCACAGGTGGAGTGATTAGGATCACTCACTCACTCACAAGTCAGCAACGTTACCCCATGTCTGCCCCCAGTGATTGCATCAAAAACTTCAATAATAAAAAGCAAGAAAACAGCTTGCTTGCTACTGTTGCAGTATGCGGCCAACCCCCCATTCAAAAAGTGACTGACCTTGAACTTGACAATGTTGCTAAGAGATACTTCAAGTAATTCATGCAAAAGTAGATTTGAAAAACACTGAACCATAGTCGTATATTCAGAGTATGTCCCCTTTTATATTTAGCTCATATAGCAAATAGGTTGCATACATATACAGTGGTCCCCTGCCTAACAGACATCCCACATAAGGGGTTTTTGCCTAATAAACCAGCTCTGCAGACAGTGTTTCCTCCTGCCCAACAGACAAAATCCACCAACTTTAAAATTAGCGTTGGCAATTGAAATTTTTGATTTTTATACAATTGAATTTGTCTATGAAGAAATTTTTGTCTGACAGACTTGTCTGTTGCACAAATCAAGTTCCTTATAGATAGGGGTTGAATGTATTGCATTCTTTTATTGGTTAAGCTTTCAATGTGCATTTACTGATGTGCTGCTGGAACTAAACATGTTGAATGATATGTAGGTTTCAATTTCTGTTTAGGATAAATGGGTACAGGTGGTACCTCACAATTCAACCCTAATCCATTGCCAAACTAGGATCAGATTGCAAAGCAGTTTAATTGCAAGGTGCTTCATGGAATTCAAAAATATCAGCACAAAAATGTAAAAAAAAAAGTGGCCAAAGCAGGTCAAATTGTGGGGCAAGGGTTGAATTGCAAGTTAACCTCCCTGCAAATTCAACTGTCAAATTGTGGGAAGGTCAAATTGTGAGGTACCACCTGTATTATGGCCAGCAGGTACATAT